TTAACAGTGATAAATTCCAGGTACTCAGGTACGGTAAAAATGAGGACCTTAAACATAATACAGAGTACAAAACACAATCAAATGTACCCATAGTAGGAAAACAGCATGTAAAGGATTTGGGAATAATAATGTCGGACGACCTAACGTTTAAGGAGCATAACCAAGCAAATATTGCGACAGCCAGAAAAATGATAGGATGGATTACGAGAACTTTCAAATCCAGGGATCCCATCACAATGGTTGTACTCTTCAAGGCACTTGTGTTGTCCCGTCTTGAGTACTGCTCAGTACTCACTTCCCCCTTCAAAGCAGGAGAGATTGCTGAAATAGAGGGAATACAGAGAACATATACGGCACGCATAGACGCAATAAAGCACCTAAATTATTGGGATCGTCTCAAAGCCCTCCAAATGTACTCACTAGAAAGAAGACGAGAGAGATATCAAATAATATACACCTGGAAGATACTGGAGGGTCAAGTACCAAATCTACACAGTAAAATAACAACGTACTGGAGTGAACGACATGGAAGAAAATGTAGAATAGAACCAATGAAGAGCAGAGGTGCCATAGGCACAATCAGAGAACACTGTATAAACATCAGAGGTCCGCGGTTGTTCAACGTCCTCCCAGCAAGCATAAGAAATATTGCCGGAACAACAGTGGACATTTTCAAGAGGAAACTAGATTTATTCCTCCAAGGAGTGCCGGACCAACCGGGCTGTGGTGGGTATGTGGGCCTGCGGGCCGCTCCAAGCAACAGCCTGGTGGACCAAACTCTCACAAGTCGAGCCTGGCCTCGGGCCGGGCTTGGGGAGTAGAAGAACTCCCAGAACCCCATCAACCAGGTATCAACCAGGTATCAACCAGGACCCCAGAGGACGATCATGTCCACACCTGCAAGGACCCCAGAGGACGATCATGTCCACACCTGCAAGGACCCCAGAGGACGACCATGTCCACACCTGCAAGGACAAGAGGACGACCATGCCCACACCTGCAAGGACCAGACGACGACCATACCCACACCTGCAAGGACCAGACGACGACCATACCCACACCTGCAAGGACCAAGAGGACGACCATGCCCACACCTGCAAGGACCAGACGACGCATGCGCGGCAACACACAACCTCCCCCCCCCCCTGCCCAGCATTCGTCTCCAAGGGCTAAATTTACTGTGGAGGATGTAGAGGTTTCGTTACAGCCAGGTGTGTGAGGCTCCCCGCCCGGCCGTCGTTAGTCACTTGTCTCCAGCGAGCCCGGCCCGAGGCCAGGCTTGACTTGTGAGAGTTTGGTCCACCAGGCTGTTGCTTGGAGCGGCCCGCAGGCCCACATACCCACCACAGCCCGGCCCGAGGCCAGGCTTGACTTGTGAGAGTTTAGTCCACCAGGCTGTTGCTTGGAGCGGCCCGCAGGTCCACATACCCACCACAGCCCGGCCCGAGGCCAGGCTTGACTTGTGAGAGTTTGGTCCACCAGGCTGTTGCTTGGAGCGGCCCGCAGGTCCACATACCCACCACAGCCCGGCCCGAGGCCAGGCTTGACTTGTGAGAGTTTGGTCCACCAGGCTGTTGCTTGGAGCGGCCCGCAGGCCCACATACCCACCACAGCCCGGCCCGAGGCCAGGCTTGACTTGTGAGAGTTTGGTCCACCAGGCTGTTGCTTGGAGCGGCCCGCAGGCCCACATACCCACCACAGCCCGGCCCGAGGCCAGGCTTGACTTGTGAGAGTTTGGTCCACCAGGCTGTTGCTTGGAGCGGCCCGCAGGCCCACATACACACCACAGCCCGGCCCGAGGCCAGGCTTGACTTGTGAGAGTTTGGTCCACCAGGCTGTTGCTTGGAGCGGCCCGCAGGCCCACATACCCACCACAGCCCGGCCCGAGGCCAGGCTTGACTTGTGAGAGTTTGGTCCACCAGGCTGTTGCTTGGAGCGGCCCGCAGGCCCACATACCCACCACAGCCCGGCCCGAGGCCAGGCTTGACTTGTGAGAGTTTGGTCCACCAGGCTGTTGCTTGGAGCGGCCCGCAGGCCCACATACACACCACAGCCCGGCCCGAGGCCAGGCTTGACTTGTGAGAGTTTGGTCCACCAGGCTGTTGCTTGGAGCGGCCCGCAGGCCCACATACACACCACAGCCCGGCCCGAGGCCAGGCTTGACTTGTGAGAGTTTGGTCCGCCAGGCTGTTGCTTGGAGCGGCCCGCAGGCCCACATACCCACCACAGCCCAATAATTTACACGTGGAAAATATTAGAGGGGCTGGTCCCAAACCTGCACACAGAAATAACATCACATGAGACCAGGAGGCATGGCAGGATGTGCAGAATACCCCCGTTGAAGAGCAGAGGTGCGTGCAACAGGTACTCTGAGAGAGAACTCTTATCAACATAAGAGGCCCGAGACTGTTCAACACGCTTCCACTACACATAAGGGGCATAACTGGCCGACCCCTCACAGTGTTCAAGAGAGAACTATCAACATCAGAGGCCCGAGACTGTTCAACACGCTTCCACTACACATAAGGGACATAACTGGCCGACCCCTCACAGTGTTCAAGAGAGAACTATCAACATCAGAGGCCCGAGACTGTTCAACACGCTTCCACTACACATAAGGGACATAACTGGCCGACCCCTCACAGTGTTCAAGAGAGAACTATCAACATCAGAGGCCCGAGACTGTTCAACACGCTTCCACTACACATAAGGGACATAACTGGCCGACCCCTCACAGTGTTCAAGAGAGAACTATCAACATCAGAGGCCCGAGACTGTTCAACACGCTTCCACTACACATAAGGGACATAACTGGCCGACCCCTCACAGTGTTCAAGAGAGAACTATCAACATCAGAGGCCCGAGACTGTTCAACACGCTTCCACTACACATAAGGGGTATAACTGGCCGACCCCTCACAGTGTTCAAGAGAGAACTATCAACATCAGAGGCCCGAGACTGTTCAACACGCTTCCACTACACATAAGGGACATAACTGGCCGACCCCTCACAGTGTTCAAGAGAGAACTTGATAAACACCTCCAAAGGATACCTGATCAACCAGGCTGTGACTCATACGTCAGCCTGCGAGCAGCCGCGTCCAACAGCCTGGTTGACCAGTCCAGCAACCAGGAGGCCTGGTCGAGGACCGGGCCGTAGGGACGCTCAGACAAACAGTTTTGTACCTTTAATACTCTAATGATTGGCCGTTCAAACACCTTTAAAACTTAACAAGGTGTTAACTCGCGCCTTGTGTGATAAATGCCCTAGTAAAAACCTCCAATCTCTTCCAACTCAAGATACCTTTTAGAGTAATCTCCCTGTCACTGATATTCCTCTTTATCTGTACTTCAGTCTTCACACACACACACTCACACACACACACACACACACACACACTCACACACACACACACACACACACACAAACACACACACACACACACACACACACACACACACACACACACACACACACACACACACACACACACACACACACACACACACACACACACACACACACACACACACACCACACCACACACACACACACTCACACACACACACACACACACACACACACACACACACACACACACACACACACACACACACACACACCACACCACACACACACACACTCACACACACACACACCACACCACACACACACACACACACACACACACACACACACACACACACACACACACACACACACACACACACACACACACACACACACACACACACACACACACACACACACACACACACACACACACACACACACACACACACACACACACACACACACACACACACACACACACACACACACCACACACACACACACACACACACACACACACACACACACACACACACACACACACACACACACACACACACACACACACACACACACCACACCACACACACACACACACACACACACACACACACACACCACACACACACACACACACACCACACACACACACACACACACACACACACACACACACACACACACACACCACACACACACACACACACACACACACACACACACACACACACACACACACACACACACACACACACACACACCCCCACACACACACACACACACACACACACACACACACACACACACACACACCACACCACACCACACACACACACACACACACACACACACACACACACACACACACACACACACACACACACACACACACTCACACACACACACACCACACACACACACACACCCGTCACCGACAAAGGTAATGGGACTCTTGCTCTCCTCAAAGCTGTCACACTTGAAACAACTGCCTCCTCCATCAGCACTCCCAAACACTGTGTCTACACCGACAGCTCGGTCCAATCTTGAAGGAGGGAGTGTAGAATCTCCTTCCTTCAATTATTCCTTCTTCGTAGTCCTGTCTGCTTTAGCATTTCCGTTATTTTATGCATTCTTTTGCCGTGTCCTGGTGGGTCTGCTGTGTTCTACGTTGGACCTCTTTCTGGCTAGTCCTCAAAGGAACATAAATTTTAAATTTTGCCCCGAGGGGCGAGTTTATTGGGCAGCGCCACTCATCTTGTGAGTGGACACACCGCCATAGTGACAGTATTGGGCAGCGCCACTCATCCTGTGAGTGGACACACCGCCATAGCAGCATGTACAACACTCCCCAATAGGAAGAAAACCCGCTGGGTTGTTCATCCTGTCACTTGTACCCAGACACAGAGGAACATGTTTCGGGCAGACTTCGTATGCTTCAGAAGTCAGTTGTTGAATTCCCTGTGTAGCATTTTTATTTCAGAACATTTTCCAACTGAATGTTCGTATGATCCCTGTTTATTTTCTGCCAGTCTATCCTTTTATTATTATAATTGGATTTATTGAATAACCCTTCTCGGTTCATAATTTGTTTAGGCCTATTACGAGTAGTAATGTTAGTTTGCACTTTGATGAGCAACCTGTGGCAGGTGGCTACAGGTATGAGCCTGGTCTGCCACCACCTGTGGCAGGTGGCTACAGGTATGAGGCTGGTCTGCCACCACCTGTGGCAGGTGGCTACAGGTATGAGGCTGGTCTGCCACCACCTGTGGCAGGTGGCTACAGGTAGATTAGAAATGTCTAAGCAGGTTATGTGGAAGAGAGAGAGTATTCCCCTAACACCAATACCGTCTTATCTTCACTTCGCGATAAGATCCTGGCATACTATTTAAATATCGAGAGCATATTACGAGATTTATGTTAGTGGTGAGATAAGGAATAAGTGCGCAAGCGGTCGTCAGGTCTCCAAGTACTTGAATCCCCTTAATGTAAGGATCAAAATGTACTTAAGTCCATAAACGCACCGCCCCCCCCCCTGTTATCTCTTATCAGGGGAATGTCTCACCACAGCTGAAAGTTCCTCCACACTACACCCCTCTCCCCCACAACCCTGGCTTGGGGGGGGGGAGGGGGTTGAACAACTCCCACAGCCCCGGTCGGCCGAGCGGACAGCACACTGGACTTGTGATCCTGTGGTCCTGGGTTCGATCCCAGGCGCCGGCGAGAAACAATGGGCAGAGTTTCTTTCACCCTATGCCCCTGTTACCTAGCAGTAAAATAGGTACCTGGGTGTTAGTCAGCTGTCACGGGCTGCTTCCTGGGGGTGGAGGCCTGGTCGAGGACCGGGCCGCGGGGACACTAAAGCCCCGAAATCATCTCAAGATAACCTCAAGATAACCTCCATCAGTGGCTGTATCTGGGAGCGACAATACGTAGCTGGCTAGTATAACTGGGGAAGCTTGTGTTGTTAAATATCCGCTATCTGGAACAAAAAGTTCCAAGTAGCACGGGCTATGGCGAGCCCGAAGTCAGCATGTGGTGGGATGTGGTGTTTAATATTCCTCAGCCTCCGCCCACCGCCCCGCGACACAGGCCCAGCCACACACACGTCACAATATATACATCAGAAATGCGTATAACTGATACCAGTGGCGACCCGGTATGGACTGGTCGGTAGAGCCACGGCCTCGCTTCTTGTCGGGTCGGGGTTCGATACCCGCTGGAAGCCCAGTGGTAGGGCACTCTACACATCATTGTTCTATCCCTTCATAGTGCTCTAGGCTTACATGCCTTACGCCTGCTCATATTGGAGCGTTGGATTTTCAACTTTGTCACAGAATGGAGCGAGTGATGGTCAATCAAATACGGTCATCAAGCCGTCTTGAGTACTGCTCAGTACTCACTGAGAATAGTGAGTACTGAGAATACAGAGAACATATACGGCACGCATAGACGAGATAAAACACCTAAATTATTGGGATCGTCTCAAAGCTCTCCAAATCCAGGGATCCCATCACAATGGTTGTACTCTTCAAGTCGCTTGTGTTGTCCCGTCTTGAGTACTGCTCAGTACTCACTTCCCCCTTCAGAGCAGGAGAGATTGCTGAAATAGAGGGAATACAGAGAACATATACGGCACGCATAGACGAGATAAAACACCTAAATTATTGGGATCGTCTCAAAGCTCTCCAAATGTACTCACAAGAAAGGAGACGAGAGAGATACCAAATAATATACACCTGGAAAATACTGGAGGGCCAGGTCCCAAATCTACACAGTAAAATAACAACATACTGGAGTGAACGATATGGAAGAAAATGCAGAATAGAACCAGTGAAGAGCAGAGGTGCCATAGGCACAATCAGAGAACACTGTATAAACATCAGAGGTCCAGTGAAGAGTAGAGGTGCCATAGGCACAATCAGAGAACACTGTATAAACATCAGAGGTCCAGTGAAGAGCAGAGGTGCCATAGGCACAATCAGAGAACACTGTATAAACATCAGAGGTGCCATAGGCACAATCAGAGAACACTGTATAAACATCAGAGGTCCGCGGTTGTTCAACGTCCTCCCAGCAAGCATAAGAAAAATTGCCGGAACAAAGGTGGATGTATTCAAGAGGCACTTAAATAAGTTCTTGCAAGAAGTGCCGGACCAACCAGGCTGTGGTGGGTGTGTGGGCCTGCGGGCCGCTGGAGTAGAACAACTCTCGACCCTCTTCAGGTACACTCCAGGTATAGTTACACACACACCACCATCGGCCACCAACATAAGCCTCCCACCGTCCTAACCCCCATCCAGGAACCCCAGCACCCAACCTAACCTAACCTAACCTAACCTAACCTAACCTAACCTAACCTAACCTAACCTAACCTAACCTAACCAGCTGGTGCATAGCAAACGAGCACTAAGCCGCTACTTTTGTTCATTTGATGCATCACGCAATTGTGATCTCTGTGGTGTAATGAAGTAAGGGCGAAGATGGAGCGCGGCCTATTGACATAGCTCGAGTGCAGGGGGGAGTTGTGTAAAACCCTGGTTTGTGTCTCGGAGAGGCTGCAAGATCCAGTAAGTTCAGTAGAACTTCGGTTTCAACTCCTTTTGACCATGTCGTAGCTCAGTCGATTAAGGCAGCGTCTGGGAAGCTCCCGGACGCAGGTTCGAATCCTCGTCACGGCCCTTGTGGATTTGTTCACTAAGTCGCTACTTGTCATAGCAGGTTGTATTTGGTAGGTTGGTTACCTGCCTGCCATGGACCGGGCCATGCTGGTCCATGGACCGAGTGCTCCGGGGCACCACAGGACCCGGTCTCTCTTCACGCAGGCTGGCGTTCAATCCCCGACCGTCCAAATGGTTGGGCGATATAAGCTTAACTTGTATACACACTGGCTTCCTGTCCCTCCAGAAACAATAAATTATAGAATATCCAATCACTGGCCTTATTTAGTCATCCTCCAAGTTCAACCTAATTACCACCAGTAAATTAACTATCAACCACTTAAGTGATCTCGAGTGGAAGAAGAAGTTCAAAGTGTTCAAAGTCACCAGATCCCGCATATAATTAGTCTTGTCATAATATTATCTTGAGATTATCTTGAGATGATTTCGGGGCTTTAGTGTCCCCGCGGCCCGGTCCTCGACCAGGCCTCCACCCCCAGGAAGCAGCCCGTGACAGCTGACTAACACCCAGGTACCTATTTTACTGCTAGGTAACAACAGGGGCATAGGGTGAAAGAAACTCTGTCCATTGTTTCTCGCCGGCGCCTGGGATCGAACACAGGACCACAGGATCACAAGCCCAGCGTGCCGTCCGCTCGGCCGACCGGCTCCCGTGTGGGTCTCCACTCCCATAGGGGCGTGTTCTCTACTTAAGGCTGTGTATGTATAGTCCTTATAGTGTCTATGGTACGCAAGGTTACAGAGGTGGCCAAAGGTACACAACGATGAATAGGCACAGTGAAGGGCTGAGACCAGGAAGGTAAGGGCAGGCACTAGGATAACATAGCCCTCTTATGTTATCATAGGATAACCCCTGATAGCCACACTCCCAGGAGATAAGCCCGGCTGAACTCTCCACTTGACCTGTTATAACACCTCGCCGATAACAGAGATCGAACCTGTGGCATTTCTCCCCCCACGTCGACCGCAGCCCCTGATAACCACCGTCTTGTCGACGGCGTTTGGTTACTTCGCGGGCTGCGATAGCCGTTATCAGGCGGGTGCCGGCTGATCTAAGGTTTCCCTCTGATATCTTACTCCCTCAAGCTGCCTGCCCCCACTCACGGAGGTGGCTGCCACCCACTCTGCCACACATGTGGTGTAGCACATGTTCAGAACTTTGTATACCACATATGTCAGACCAATCCTGGAGTATGCAGCCCCAGCATGGAGTCCATATCTAGTCAAGGATAAGACTAAACTGGAAAAGGTTCAAAGATTTGCCACCAGACTAGTACCCGAGCTGAGAGGTATGAGCTACGAGGAGAGACTACGGGAATTAAACCTCACTTCGCTGGAAGACAGAAGAGATAGGGGGGGACATGATCACCACATTCAAGATTCTGAAGGGGATTGATAGGGTAGATAAAGACAGTCTATTTAACACAAGGGGAACACGCACAAGGGGACACAGGTGGAAACTGAGTGCCCAAATGAGCCACAGAGATATTAGAAAGAACTTTTTAGTGTCAGAGTGGTTGACAAATGGAATGCATTAGGCAGTGATGTGGTGGAGGCTGACTCCATACACAGTTTCAAGTGTAGATATGACAGAGCCCAGTAGGCTCAGGAACCTGTACACCTGTTGATTGACGGTTGAGAGACGGGACCAAAGAGCCAGAGCTCAACCCCCGCAAGCACAACTAGGTGAGTACACACAGCACTGGTAATACCCATCTGTGAGGAGAGAGAAAACAAAAAAAAAGTACCCAGGGCGCAGGTTCGAATCCTAACGGCTCTTGCGGATTTTCCTCACTGATCCATCACGCTAATGTGATCTCTCTGTGCATATGTGCGTGCGTGCGTGTATGAGGGTGGACGAGGCTGCCGCTACGCCATCCTGCCGCTGCCGCCGCCGCCGCCGCCGCCGCCGCTGCCACAAGGGGGGGGGGGGGGGTAGGGGGGGGGGGGGTTGCAATAAACTGCGCCATGTCAGGGAGGAAGTTGGCAGCGGAGGAGGACAGTTGCGGAGTGCCGGAGCCATAACCGTCAGTGCCAGGAGGTGCTGCTGACGAAGGACCTCTCTCTCTCTCTCTCTCTCTCTGGGGGTTCGGACCCCTCCGTACACACCCCCTCCCCCCCACCACCCCCCCCCAAAAAATCCTAATATCCCGCCCACTAAAAAAAAATAATCGAGGCTGCGCGCACTCCGTCTCTTCCCGAAATAAAAATACGAAAAAATAAATGTTGAAAGAAATACCTGAGGAATTATATAGGAGTCTTCCGTTGACGTGGAGTGTGGGGGGGGGGGAGGGGGGAGGATGGTGAGCCACACCATTCACGCCACACTATCCTTGAGAAGGGGGAGAGGTGTGGGGGGGGGGGGGAAGCGCCCCCCTTCTCCTGCTTAAACCCCATCTCTCTCTCTCATACCACAAATGCCCCCTGCCCGATAAATTTATTTATTTTTTTAATTTTGCCCCGAGGGGCGAGTTTATTGGGCAGCGTCACTCATGCTGTGAGTGGACACACCGCCATAGTGACAGTATTGGGCAGCGCCACTCATCCTGTGAGTGGACACAC